AATGAGTCCAAGCTTTGCTTTGGACTGCTCTGCAAATTCTAAACTCATCTACAACTATCATCCACTGTTTGTAATTCAGGATGTACCTAGAACTCCACTGAAAAAAAAATATTGTACTTCAGAACATACAGAAAAATCACTTAGCTTTAAGATTTCAATTATGGGCAGTCCAATATCCCAGATCCCTGAATACCAGTGGAAATCAACCTCTGCTTTAAAAACCAATTATTACCCACACAATAGTGAGCTGTTGTTGATCAGCAGCAGGAAATTCCATTAAAAACTTATATTCTCAATAGCATTCCCTCCTTATTAAGACTCTTTGATTGTTGAAATAATTTGCAGTTTGTGGCTCACTGGTACTGAATACACAAACAGTTGAGGAAAAAAGACAAAATTTCTTAGATCTACAGCTTGTTACATAAGTCAGACATACTCATAAAACAAACATTTTTATGTTCTGAATAAATGTTTTAACACATTTATTCTCTTGCATAAGAATAAAGTTGTCATGTATCCTTCAGAAAAACATTCACAAGCTTTAAAGTGCAAAATAGGTCATCACAAACACAGTACCTAATACCATGTTCTCTACAGTTCCATTTCAAAAGTCCATTTTCAGATGGCCACCACATTTAATGCCTTTAACTAGCTGTCTCTTGCTTTTTCCTATGCCATGTGACAAATACAGTCCACTTCTTTTAAAAGGCAAAGGAGATGTTCAGATAACCCATTCCTGTTACATTTCAAAGTTCGCCTGTTGGCTGTAGCTCTCTGCATTAGCCTCCTTTGAAAAACCTCAGCCAAAACTGACAATCAACCTGAGCTGGAGGAGGAAGTTGGGAAACAAGAACCTGAGAGAACTGGATGTGCAAGCTGCAAGCAAATGCTTTGTGAGTGATGGCAGACCTTAGTGCCACTGAAGATACACAAAGTTCAAGTCTTTAGCTCTCCCAACCTCTGCAGCAGTTAAGGAAAAATGCATTGCCTTACCGTTTGTTCAGCCTGAGACAGATGTGTGCTCTTACAAGCCTTGTTTCAATGTTTAATGTACCTGAGAATTATGCAGATGACATGAGAGATTCATGAATATGTATGCATCTCAAATAAAATACATCAGCATGCTTCAAAAGAGTCCCCTTCCACAAATGAAGCTAGAAACAAAACCCCCAAACAGCAGAGGTTGTGGAATAATGATAATTCAAGGTATGACAATGCTGATATGGGGGAAGAAGTCTGCACTACAGAAAGCTGGAATTAAGACCAAAAGTAGGGAATACTTGGGCATTTCTCTTGTTTTCAAATAAAGAAAATATTATTTACCACAGTTTTAAAATAAAAACTAGTAAATTATCAATCTAAAATGAGCATGAGTTTTCAAATGAAAATATTGAATCAACATTAGATGCTAGAGAACATTTATAATATAATTGATAATAAGAAGTTTGTAGATGATAAAATGCATTTAATAGAGACTAGCAGTGTTATCAGAAACCTCCATTGCATTACCTAACAGAGTAGGGAGAAAATGTTCCTCTCCTTTTCCCTGTCTTGCCTTTGATTGAGAACTCTTTTAAAAAATTGCCATAAATGCAATTTAAACGATTTGTTAAAGCATTTTTTTAAATTCATCAAAAAATCATAGTCCTCTAAGCTGTTTAGTCTATAAAAAAAGAGGATCTGTCAAAGTCAAAATAACATTTTGTTTCTGACACAACCAAGAGGAAATTCCTTAAAGACCAGTCAATATGAAAGTCAGCATTGGCTAGAAATTATTCTGTCCCCAGTGAACTAGAAATAATTCTTGACAATCACACACTTCAGCAATCATCTTAGATGAATCAGATCATTACAGTATTCTTTGGAACCTCATAGACTACTAATGTGCCTTGAAACAGATACATGAACAGGCAATGCCAATCGCATTTGCAGCCAAAAAACCCCATCCTTATTGAAATGCATGGCATTATTACAGGTCCCAGATAAAAGTATCAAAAAGAGAAGAAAGTGTTCAAGACGGTGCCAATGAACTGTCAGACTGGAACATCTAGAGAAGAGCTGGAATAAGTGCTAACAATAAGAGCAGCACGCATACAGGAAAAGCTTGGTCTAATCAAAACAGTTAAAGACAATCCTAACAAGTTAAAACTGTGTCATCATTACACAACAATAAATGACAGCTAGATCCCACACACTGTATTTCCTGAATTTAGGCTAAACTAAGTTCATGATATCTGAACAACTCCAAACAGCATGAAAGTCATTCAGTAGCACTGTAAATGAAGAACTCTGGCACACTCGTTCATTAGGGAGAAGAGAAAGGGCAAGTACTAATCCCTTTCCAGCATCTGTTTCACAGCACGTGGGGTGACAAGACACCTCAGTTACCAACAGCAGAGAGGGTAAGTGGTTTCAAGGAAGCCTTCTTTATCTACTTGGATTTTATTTGCAGATAGTATTAAAATAAAGCAAGAGCTATTTTTTAATGTCACACAATAATATGTAGAACATAAACAGATATTTGATTTAATTAGTTTGGACCTGAAAGATATTTCAGTTTTAACATGCAGTACCTTGTTGACCTCTCTTAAAAGGACTTAGAGCAACCACTTGCATGGACTGCAACGGTACAAAACAAACAAGACAGGTAAATTCTTACTGTGATCTATTCAGACTGCAGATCTGGCTAAATTTATGCCTTGCTGAGGTGAACTTGATTAAAAAAAATACTGTAAAAAGAGTAAAATACAGCCTAAAGCCCAACATGATATAAGCTACAGCCACCTCACAGACGTGCACGCAGATTCTAAACCTTTACAATGAGACCCTGATTCAAAATGAGGTTACAGACCAAGCACTGCTCTCTGTCTTCCAACACATATTCTCCTCTTTATTTCCCTTCATCCACTATCTTATTCCCCACCTCCACTACTGTAAATCTGGACACTGGGTCCCACTTCCTCTTAATTTTCACAACAGTGTAGTTCCAGTTGTCCTACCCTGGCACACTATTTAGGGCATAAACGTGCTTTTTCACATCTTTCACACATCCTACAGCAACTGCAGATCATAAAGTTGTGGCTTCTATGACTCATGAAAGACACAGTAATCTTGTAAGTTGTATAAATAGAAAAACACACAAACATATGCATGAGCTAAATGCATCAAAAGACATGAGATCAACAGGAAAACAACTAGCAGGAGAGGAATTAAGATGCTTCTGATTCTTTTGCAAGTTATTTTGTGGTTGGACTTCTTCTCTTAAAGGGCTTTTCCAACCTAAAGGTTTCTCTGACTGTCATATCCAGACAATTTTTAGTGCTCTGCTAATTACAGAGTAACTCGGAAGAAATATTCACTAACTCCAAAGTGTTGTTTTTTTCCATTTTAGTATGATTTTGGGGTTGATTTATTTTTCTTATTCATTAGCCATCTATTTCTAAATAACTGACTATAGTTTGCACATTAAGGACAAGATTCAAAGCACTGCTAACTCTGTAGTTGTCGGTCTTTCCCCAGCAATGGCATCAGGATTAAAAGTACTAAAAGATGGTGCTAAGAGAAGAGTTACAAACACCACAGGCTACTCAACATTAGTTTAGCCTAAACAGAAAAAAGTTAGCACAAGGGTTTATGTTGGATATATACCTATATCCTCTCACGTCCCTACTTGATGAGTGCAACTAACAAACTTTTTCCAACTCTTTAATATTTTCTGTAGCTTCTTTGCTGTAATCTCTTTAGTTCAATTTCTGATGAGGTAAGAGCCACATAAGCATCAAAGACATACTCTGACTCATTTGTTTCAGGACCATTAAATACACTGTATATTACTACCAGTGTTAGATTTGTATCTTTCATCACCTCCCCATGCCTGCCTGACAATCAGTAGGTCAAATGCTTTTGTGGCTTATTTGGTATCTGGCAGTTATTTCTCAAACCAACCATCTTTCCCACCACAATCCATGTCTGTTTTCTTAGAAAAATTAAATATCTTCCTGCATTCCTAAAAAAAAAAAATTATACCAATTTCAGCCCTCTGTCAGCTCCTTTAACTTTCTAATCAATTAACAACACACAAATTGATACCAACTTATTATCTGAATATACATTTTGAAGGGTTTCCTAAGGTTAACACTCAGAGAACAGATTCTCTCTCTGTAAGACACAAAGCCTTCAAGTACATCCTGAAGTTCTTAGCAAGAGCTCCTGCATGCCCCTGGTGCTCAGTAGCTCGGCGTGCTGCCAAGCACACTCCCACTGTTCAGAGGCAGTTACACTGTTGGAAGGCAAGTGCACACTAAGAGCACTGTGCTGATGTGCATCTCCATGCCCAGGTGCACTTAACACATCCCTTTTCAGAAACAGTGCTGAAAAGTTACTGAGAGGAGCAAACAGTTCTGTAGAACTGCTATTGCCATTTTATTTTTAGAGGCTTTTCACAGATACCCATCAAAGCCGTGTTCTGGCTACCATCATAAGCTATTTCCTATACAAGCCAAGCACAAAAAAAACCTTTATCACAACTCAATTCTTTTGTTTGACAAAGGCATTGGCATTACAGGCATAAGGCTCATTGAGATTAAATAAAGACCAAAATAAGACTAATTCCCTCAGTGAGAGGTTGTAGTGCCCTGGAATACATGTCCATATTCTGTTGTGAATTACACATCTGAATTTGTCACAATACCCATGATCCTAATAGGGAAATATCTTCACATTTGGTACACTGAAGCAGAAGAAAGCAAATTCCCCAGTAAAAGGGGGACCATTTGTGTGGTGGACCATTCTTGTTTTCAGGAATGAAATGGACCAAATGGATGGAGGGATAAAGCATTGACCATAAACTGAAACCCAAATTACACCCAAAATTCAGACCTAAAATTCAGTTTCTGCCATTTAGATTACACCAGGTATTGTACTAATAGCCTTCTACTGAAATTAGGCTTGAAACAAAAGTGTACCAAACAGAAACAGCTGACCAGGCCAAAAAGCCTCACCTCAATGAGATAGTGAGAACATAAACTGAGAAGCTCCAGTAGCTGCAAATGACTCCCAGCTGCTAGGACGTCCTGTATCACCCCTGGTTCCAAGAGGATCTGTAAAGAAGAAAATGGAAGGTTTGTCATCTGGAAGATGTACTTAGAGTACTTGTAGAATATATTAAAGGCCTTTGCTATTTCAGATATTTAAGTCAATATAAAGAACATAATACCATAAAGCATATAGGGAAATCTTTACAGAATAGGGACAGATTTTCTAAAGTTCATCTGAATTTCCCAAAGGATTTTTAAACTTTTTTTTGTTATTTTTTTCTGTGAGAGTCCCTAAGTCACAATAGCCCCTAAATCCTTTGAAACTAAATGGGTGCTGTTTAAGGAGGAGACTTTTCAAAATAACAGAACCTCCTTTTCTTATCTGTGTACTTGGATCCTTCCACATATACTGAAGAATCAGGCCAACAGAATTAACTCTGAAGTCTCCACTATCAATATTATTCATGCATGTAAAACATATACAGTCTAGGAATACCCTGCCTATTCTTCATGGTGCCACTTTATAATTTTCCTAACCATTGTCTTCATTTTAGAGAGCAGGGCTCTGAAAGATCAATGAGCATGTTGCTGGGGAAGTGCCAGAAAGGGCTTGGAAACCAAGACTGATTTTTCAGTTACTTGCTCACATGAAACTCCTACTCATTTCAATTAAAATCATGTACAGGCAGCAGTAAGGATAATTGGGCCACAGCTCATAGACCGCTGTCCTGGGGTCAGCTTGTTAGAGCATCCCTTTTGGGACACAAAAATGTCTTTGGGAATATGGACACTGGTCAACTTCTTATTAGCAATCAGACCACAAACTACCTAGACTAAAATTTTTTAAGTAGCGCAACATCATAAAAAAAATCAGAAATGTATGCAAAAAATTAAATTTTCAAAGCTCCTTGCTTTATTCAATTTTATCCCTGTACTTCCCTTGGCAACTTCGGTTTCACACCACATGAGGTCAGTCTCTCACTGCTCCACAGGGAAGAAAAGCTTGCTTTCAGATTCTTCTCTTTCTGCTCACACAATTCAGTTTTATCTCATAGCATCATTTGTATACCTCAAGTGCAGTGGAATAAGGAAAATGGAAAACAAAAGGAAAGATACTCAACTGCATCTTTTGTAATTTAACTATTTTTGAGGGAAATTTTAAAAAATTATGCATTTCTTCAAGCAAAATCCCAAAATATCTCCATCATAATGGTTATGTGAGGAGGAGGAGAGAAGACAATTGATCCTTACTTATATCAAGAACACATTTACATTGAGTTCTGACAGCGTATGAAATCCTTAATGCCTGTGCAAATCACTACATTTATTAATACTAGGTGAACATTATACATCATTTACATACTATATAAAACATGAAGGTTCTTTATCTAGCCAGAAATCCATGTAAGGATCCTACTGTAAATGAGAAGCAGGCCCAGCACAATCCAGGTTTTTGGCTGGTGCTACTGAGGTTGCTATGAATGATTAGAGGTAGTTGAACAGAAAGTTAGAATTTATTTCAGTAACAAAAATATCTCCAATAGACACAGATATTAAAATCAAACAAAAGCATGTCGGTCTCAAGCATTTTAAAGTGAGAACTAAACAAGTTGGTACAGACTAAACAAGCTGGTACAGACCTTGCAGTGTTTTTTATTCAGACATGACTGACACTGAGGAAGCTGCCATCCTCTGGCACATTACTTACTAAGTGTCAACCAGAGAACCAGAACCCTAAGCAGATTAGTACCTTGTAGGCATAGACAAGCTATATTTAACTGCAATAATATTCATGTATTTTAAAGCTACAGCAATCCATTTACAATAATACTAGTAGCACTATGAGATAAGAAGCAGGACAAGAGGCAAGGAGGGTGGCTGGCTACTGTCTAGAGATGATTTGCACAAAGTCAGCAACAAAAGTTCTTTTCAAGGAGGCAGATGTATTTCCTACATGGTCTTCTATTTTTACAGCCATCCTTTACCACACATGCTATATTCTACTGGGGAAATAGATTCACTATTGTGTTTCCCAAGATAATGGGGGAAAGTCTAGTTTATCTCTTCACAGAACTTTGCTTTAAAGGGAACTATCTGTACTTTTATTCAATACTCATTTGGATATAGACAAAACCACTAATTCATCTATGCTAGATATTCACCATTGGGAAACTGCATGCTAGTAAAACCCACAAGGAAAAGAAAATGATAAGTAAAGAAGGAAGAAAATATTGCAAGCCTTCCTTCTACTGAAACTGCGGTAATTCACAATTATTCCACATCTTTGAAATTTTGTACACTAAAGCAATTGCTTGGTTTTTATAAATTACCACCATAGGTCTCTATACATTACACAGGCTTTCCAGCTCAATACTAACAGTAAATGCACATAAATACCATCAAATGCACCCCACAAGCACACACAGTGACTGACTCTGCTCTGCTTGTCTAACTCTCAAAACAATAGATCTCAGGTCTACAGAATGATGCTTATTGCAAATTAAGGACAGTGAAACTAAGGTCTACTTTGGATTCACAATTTCAAAATTAATCATAAATTTCAGTGTGAAAAAATAGAGAGAAGCTTAATCATTTTCTGTAATCCATTATTGACCCAAGCGTTATGAGGCATAATTACTGGGGCAGAAACTTAAGAGTAATTTGGACTCATCAAATTCAGACAAAAACTGCAACCTTCACAAGCGAAGAATGTGCTTTCTCATGACACAGGCTATATTAGAATGGTTGCTGTACTATTTTTACATTAAGATTAATTAGATGCAATTCAGGTACTGCACCTGGCTGCACCTTACAGTCACCCCTCTACCCAACCCTTATTTCAAGGGGTTAATTTTCATTATACTTTCAACTTCTCTCTGGCATACGATGGTACCCAAGAAAATCCCCTCAAGCACCTTTTCCCTGCATACAACAGGCAGAACATGTGATACATGAGTAACTTCCATTCCTAAGCCATCAAGCCTGACATACTGCTCATTTTCAAACTGATTTACTTTGACAAACTACTTTGCTCTTACAATGACTGTTTTCAAACAGGAAACCCGTTCCTCAAAGCTGTCTTTCTACTCTCCATCATGCCACAAACCCTCCAGAGAGGATGCATAAAATACAGTCTGGTCCCTACTGTGCTCAGATCCATAGTCCAAGGGATTGAAGCAATGCAAAATCTGGCTGTGTGTAGCAGAATGCTGAGGTCACGAGATCCAGAAAGGCAGATTACAAAATTTCTTAGATCCACTATTTTTAGACATCCAATATTAATCTATCTGAAAACTTATCCACTTATACTGTGTGGATATATTGCATAAAGCTTCTCTTCAAATACAAGAACTAGAAAATGTTAAATTAAACCTGACCTTGTAAAACACAGTACTGAGGCAGAAAAGGCAATTTTATAACAAGTCCCATTGTTACAGAAACACAGGAGCCTTAACATCCTGCCCCATATTTTTACCCTCCAGCCAGCAGTTCAAAACTAGAATTTATTCTCTCTTACTCCAAGACTTCTTTCTTCCTTTCCCAACTCAACCTGCATCCCCTCCAACACCTTAGGACTCTGGGTAAGCATGGGAAAAAACTGATATCATGCATCTTGCCCCTCTCTTCAATCTTCTTTGAGACTTGTAGCAACAGAATGTATAAGAACCACCGACCTGTCTTAAGAACAACTACTCAGGCCTCGCCTCCACATTGTCCAGATCAAAAGCGTCCTCCTACTTTTTTAATGCCTCCTGAACCCACCCTCCTACAGCAAACAAAGCCCTATAGGCCTACCAAAAAAAAAAAAAAAGGTCAGAGCAAAGAAAGCAATAACAGCCAAAAAAAGAATGAAAATGAAAAGAAAACTCCTCAAGCTGTCCTTTCCATCAAATCAACTTACAGCCTGAGGGAGAAGGTAAGATCCAGATTAACTGTCACATCTGTGGAGTCTCATGAGGTTTATATCTGGAAAGAACAACTAGAATGTTCTCTTCCCTGAACACTGCAGGCCACTATATTTATTTATCCACACATTTTAAAGACACTAAACAATAGCTGCTTTAGGCCCAAGAAGACTAAACTGCATACCCAGACAAAGATCGAGAGGTTGAAAATGTACTTTTATCACCTTCATTCCAGCTACTCGTATATCCCCCTTATTTTTCTCCCTTCCATACAGCTGTTTGTGGGACAATGGAAAAGTGAGATGGTGGCATGATCCACATTTAAAATACACCAGTATTATGCTGTAACAGTAAGGAAATACACAGCCATATTTAATTTGTGAGAAAATAACTTTGCAAAGACAGCACAGCACACTAGTGATTTCTTAGTGCTTAACACCAAGTTCTCCTTAGTCCCATTTTCAAAGAGTAACGAAATATGCAGCCCTGTCAGAAAATTCTAGAAAGTAAACTGTATGGAATTTAACACAGAAAACAAGAAGAAAATGTTCTAAGATTCCTGCCACTCTGATGAAAAAAAATTTCCTCCTTGACTCCATCTGCAGTGATCAGCATTTCAAACAAGACAGGCATCAAACACAAGTATCAGTTGTTTTTGCCTGATGGAGATCATTCTGTGTGCTTCAGAGCAATCAAACACCTTAACTTTTCTTTTAAAGTAATTTAGACTGCATTTCACTCTCAACCAGATAGCACTTCTGCCTGTCTCCCTGTTCATTCATGATTCAGTTGAATACTGAGCTCCTTGCGTATTGACAAGTGCTGCTTCCAAAAAGTGAGTCAGGAAAGAATGTTCTAGTCCCTGCAGGCAACTGCCCAAAGCCCTGGCATGCAATGTTTGGTAGCACTTGCTACAAAATCCAGATGTCTCATTAGCCAATGCCAGAAAGCACCATGACCAGTATTTCCCTGATACATCATAATATTTTTCCAGAATATTAGAAGAAAATCCATGTTAAGTGCACAGCATACACATTATAAAATCAGAGTGTTTCAATTCAGAAGGCACCCATAAAGATCATCTAGTCCTATTTCCTTGCTAATTGCAGGACTATCCAAAACTAAACACAAGTCCAGACATTCCTTGAACCCTGACAA